CGCAAGACTAGGTCATGCTTCCCCTTTCTCAAATGGCCTTCGGTCCGTGCGTCTACCCCGCCCGCCCACCCCCCCGGGTGTCGTTCTCGGCGCTTGGGTTTCGCGGCGAATGAAGGTTTAGGGCTTGGGGAGCACAGGAGCGGGCGGTTCTTTGTCCTGCGATCGCTTCTGCTGTGCTGTTGCTACGCTGTGCAGTGTATCCGGCTTTCGCTTCGGTCTTCAAGGTCGCCAAATGCTTTCATACACCAGGCCATTTTTGAACCTAAATCCCGCAGAGATGTCCGCTCAAAGCTGTATCAGCTCAGGAGGGCAAGCTGCTGGTTTGCCTCCAATGTACACATTGCATCAACTCCTTGGCCACTCAGCATCTTCAAATCCGGAGGGTCTAGGTCCAGCTGCAAAGTACATATGTATATTTACATATATATTTTTTATATTATAGTATACTATATACTATATATATATATATATATAAAGTGAGGCTACGGGGGCTGTTACGTTTCGTTTCAGTAGTCGTCAGAAAGCTCCAGGCCCTCCCAGCCCTCCACCTGGGCATCCTTCCTTTAAACACACCTGGACGGGAGCACGGCAGATACGGCATGTCGCACTTCTTGCCCGGCTCCGCGAGTGTGACAAGATCACCACAAGCAAAGATCCGTACCAACCCCAAACTAAGCCCTATTAGCCCTATGTACACCTATCCCCCTTGCAGATTGCAATGAATCCAACCAAGTTCAGTTGCAAAGCTGCAGACGCCAAGCAGTCGCGTGATATCAACACTGCGGCCCAGGCCCCTAAACCATACTAAAACCCCTCATTGTAAAGGGGCTACCCAGGAACCTACTTAAAGGCTCACAGGACTTAGTAAGTAGGGTTATAAGTAGGTTATAATTAGGACAACCCCACTTTGGGGACCTATAACCCCAATTATAACGTACCTACTAAGTGCCATGATCCTTAAAGCAGAAACCCTTAACCCTAAAAGCCCAGGCTTTCAGCCCCCTGGACTACTGGGTTTGTATGGCAACGGACGATGGGATCGAAGCCCCGGGGCTGTTTTTGCGGGCTGTTCCTGGCCTTTTCTCACGTTTAAGTTTCGGAAGGGTTCTTCGGGTTCTTCAAGGGTTCTTGGGTTGATGCTTGAAGTGTTCGTGTTTGGGTTTAAAGGGCATCATGGCTTGAATCTTAGTTGGCGCTCTTTATCAAAGGGCCTGGACTGAACATAAGGCATGAGACAGGCGTGAGAGATCCCAAGCTAGCACATAAATCGTTTCGCGTGATGACAGATTCCAACATGCGCGCCCCGGGGTTGCGAGTCCAGGCCTAGCTTGTCATGTAACTTCAGCGAGCATGTTCTTTTTAAACATAGTTTTATTCAGGCGCTCTCTCGATGCTTCTTCAGGCCATTTTGCACCAACAAAGCTACTGAATTCGTTTCGCCGAGGGCCGCACTTTCGTAGCGCAAGGTGTGACTAGTTTGCCTGTCCTCTCGTTTGCAGATCATAGACACCAAGCGCTGCTGTTGCGAATGCCGGCAATGTGGCAATGGATCTTGATGCCCTACAGGGAACTCCAGAAAGTTGGAATACGGTTTCAGGGTAGGATGACCTATAATTTACCATAGAAGGGTTAGGATAATCATATTCCAACTTTCTGGCTTTTACCTTAAACCCCCAAGGTGTGGGATCTGGAGGTTAAGGAGCGGAGCCTTGGTTGCGCTTAGCCAGGGAGGCCCAGACCCCCGGGAGGATCTAGAAAGTGGATCCCCTAATTTGCGACCCTATACTGCTAAGGGTACTTTATAGGAACCCTCATTAAGGGATCTACTTTTTGGATCCTCCCGGGGTTCTGGGGGTGCGTTAGGGTAGACGGATGCTTGCAAGAACCTTTGTGTGCGGCTGCACGCTGCCTTTTGTTTCAACTGCCTGCAAGAGCCTGCTTCTGGCCTTTTGGGCCCACGACATTTCTCATCGCTCAGACCCCCGAAACTCAGAGGATTGCGAAGGTGGTCTCGTCTGGAGGCGGCGTCGCCACGGCTCTGAGGCGAAATTCGGGGGGCTTAGGTGGGAAAAGTGGAATGAGGTCCACAAGCCTACAGGACCGGGAAGCTCCAGCGCACTTTCAGGGCTGAAATCTCGTAAAGCGAATATCGTCGTAGAAGATCGGGGAAAGTTTGATCTTCGTGGCATGGGAACTGAGGCTGCACGGGGACGGAACCACATCATGGTAGCGTCAGGGAGGGGTGGAGGAATCTCAGAAGAGGGCTTGCGATGTACGTGTGCATTTTATGTTTTGGAGCTTGCGGCAAAGTATTCTTGCTCAAATCTTCGAGTTGACAAGTCCAGTGGCCAAGTCCGACTACGACGGATTGCAGCAGAGTGCATCTTTGCTTCAATCGTGGTATCCTATGTGGGAGACTCACGCATGCAAAGTAGCTCCAAGACCCGGTAGTCTGCAACCAACTTTGAATGCTGCAGAGATCTCTATGTGTCGCACCCTGCCCTTGGCTCAAAGACCTATATGGGAGTTTCCGAAAAGTAGGGTACCCTTATTTTGGGGCCCTTCTAATAAGGATCCTACTATTTAGGGTACTGTATTAGGGTCCCGTATTTTCGGAAACTCCTAGATCTCGGTGGAGGTTCACCACTGATGCCAGCTACGTCCTCGTCGGATATTCCACCGGCATCATCGAGGCCTTGCGCAAGCTTCACAGATGCCTGGAAGAAGAGCTTCTAGTCAGTAGCCGCAGACCAAGAAGGAAACCATTCCGATGCCACGTTTTAGCTAAGCCCGAAACATCTGGGACCTCGCACGCAGACAAGGGACTCAATGATTAGAATAGGGTTTTGGGGCCCATTGTACTATGATTGTAAGAAGGAACCCCAAAACAGTATGTAGTATTGGCAATTATTAAGGCCCCGATGATACGGTTGCTGAAACGTCTAAGCGAGCCACAGTCGGCCATGTCCCGAAGATTCCGAACAGCGGACATCCACGTTCCAGGACAGACCCCAATTATGGTATAAAATAGCCGAAAACCTTATTCTAATTAATGACTAAGGCCCCTATTTTGTAAATCTCCAGCCAATTCACAACCGTCTTTCCACATCAGCCAATTTCAAGCCTTGGAAGTGCGGCAAGGCATGCAGAGGATATCGGTAAAACACAGGCGGCTTAGCATGTGGGTATCAGCAAACCTAACCCATGCAAACCCTATTGGGGTACCTTATTGGGCGGTATCCTATCCCCTAGTCTCGGAAAACCCCCATTGAGTTGAAGCCAGGCATGTCATAAGATTGAAGACCTTTGGGTCCGAACGGTCAGGTCTACCAGGTGATGAAAGGCTACAAGTACTCTTGATTTGCCGGCCGACGAGCGGAGCAAGCCCGACTAACATAGGGGCCTTAATTATTACCTATACTATTTTGGGGGTTCCTTATTATAGTTATAGTATATTACCCACCCAAAACCCTATTCTAATCATTAAGGCCCCTATAGTACTGGGCTTGCAGCAGAAAGTGAGTTGAAGCAAGCTTCTATCCTTGGAGCGCTTGCCCGGGGATGTGGCCTGTCGGGGAGCTCTGGGATGTTGCGACGGAGTCCTGCAACAAGCAATGCCACAAAAAAAGGAGCAATTCCTGCCGGGCCTCCATGTTCAGGGCTCTCTGCCACAGGCTCGAGCCATCAGGTCATGAAGTTCATAAGTTGTCGAAGCCATACTGCTGCTACATTGCCGGTTCTAACTGGAACCGCCAGGAATAGGCAAACCGCACCTTCCGTCTAAAAAACACATGATCAAAAGTGGCAGCTGCTTCTCGGAATCCAGCGATCGCGGTTCAAATCCGCGCGGGAGTGTGATGTAAGTTGAAGGCCAGCAAAGCAGGCCCCGAACGGAGTCCTTTTTTCAAGCTGTTTGTTTGAAATGGGACCGCTGTAAGGCTGTAGCATCCTCCAGACAATTATATACAGTAGCAGAAACCCTGCAGCTCGATGCTGGGGCCATCGTGGACAGCAACTCCTGCGGGCGGGATTTCGCAGCGTTGCTTCTAGTCGCTGAGATTGGTTGCGGAGATGTACCAAAAATGGGCCGACACACGTGACAGAGGATTCGAGAGGCTTCATCGCTGAAGCTTTGTTACAGCATTCTCATATGGTGGACGGCAAGGACTGCTGCTGCCTTTGCGGGGTTTTGTCTTGCAGGCCCGCTCGTTATTGAACAGCCTCTCCTACCACTGCCACTACTGGTGCTGCTATTGTTGCTGCTGATACCCTCCCTGGGTCGTGCAGCTATGGCTTAGATACTCAACATGAAAATGTCTTGGCAACTCCTACGGGTAGAGAAACTTCACCGGCCCCTGCGAAGAAATCCTCAACGAGTATATAAGTGCCGAAGCCGTTAGACTCTGTTTTATACATCCGGGCTTGCTGTATGAAACCCTATAAACCCTAAGTCTAAAACCGAAACTCCTAAATGAGTCCACTCTGGAATGCTAGGGTGGTTGAGTGTCGCAACGACTTCACGAATCGCGTAACTTCATATACAACGCATGCCAAGCTTGCCATTCGGCTCTGCGCCTCTGACACACAGGATTCTCGCAATGCCCTGGCCGTTCACTCCTGGATTACCCCTTGAAACAAAGTCGGAACTCGCTTCTTGTTGTGGCAGTTGTTGCGGGTGCGGTTTCTCTGCTTCCGCTGAACATGGTGGGACTACTGGGGGCTACAACTGTTGGTGCCTGTGAGTGCTGATTCTATGTTGACTTTCTCTTCAGCTGGTTCTTCTGACCAGTGCCTGTGCGTTTTGTTGTTGTCATGGCTTCTCGTGGCCACTGTTTTCGTCTAAGTTGCAGCATACTTGGTCGACCCAAGCAGCTCTTGCTAAGCGGTTGTGTGAATCTAACACTTTTTTCGCGAAACTTTGAGATCCTTCGCTGGCACCGATCATCGTTGTGTCACTGCGTCTGTGCAAGACAAGGTTCGTGCAGTGTATGACTTCCGAGGTGAGAAGCAGGAGGAGGACCCTTCAGATGCCTTGATACCAGTACCGAAGCTCGGGACTGCAGTCGTGACGATGGTGAGGGTTTGGTGGCCATGATGCTGCTGCTGATGACGATGATGGTAGTCATAGCTGTCATGCGGCTTGGTGGGAAGGCGAGAGCGAGAGCGAGAGCACCAGGAGTCAGGCGAGGAAGATGCGGATGACGAGGCGAGCCAGGGGAGCGAAGGTTTTCGGCGAGGCAATCAGCTCTCTTACTGCTCATGGATAGTGGATAGAAAGAGCAGTGCACGGTTTTCGCGTGGGAAGATCTGATCATGCAGGTAAGTCCCCACCCTTCCTATCTAAGGGCTGTAGAAGAGATGCAGAAGCTGGATCAGGACCAGTCTCTCCTTCAAAGACACGTTCAAAACAAGGTTCACATGGGTGGTTGTCAAAATTAGGATCCCTTTTCGGGTACCTAATATAATACGGCACCTATTATCTAGGGTACCCAAAAAGAGGCCATAATTTTGACAACTACCCACATGGTGGGACGAACTGGCTTATGCAAGTCTACAGGCTCCAGACTCTAGATGCGACCAGGGACATCCCCGCCCTTCGGAGTCCGTTTGTGTTATGGAAAATCCATCAACTTGCTTTGGAGTTAGTCTTTGGGTTTGCTCCCTCCAATGGACACTCGGATGCAGAAGTCGAGGCAGGGCCACGCTTTGGTGCAGTAGATGTTCGAACGTTCTTCAATGGCGGCCACACTCGTCGGCTCAGGGCCTTCTATCAAGCGTTCATATGGTTGATAATATGAATCCTGCATTACCTCAAGGACCCTAAACCATGAGAATTATGGCATACTCCTTATTATGAGTAATGCAGGAATTATATCATCAACCGTAGCCCTCAGCCTGCACTCGCCACCCGAAACCCTGGAGCCGAAACCTTTGGGGCACATGCAGCAAGGTTGAGGATGCTGATGAGGATGCGGAGGTGCCAAGAAAGCATGTATGTAAAGACAAAGAGACGGACAAGTGCATAAGGAGTATACACGCAACTAGAGATATGTGCATGCACTACATGGACCTATGTTCCTATGCACAACTTAATCAATCAACCAACCACGAAGTCAATGAATGAATTAGTTAATGTATTGATTAAGTAAATACTTAATAAATTAACTAGTAAACTGCCTTATATACATAAAATGGATAGATTGGTACAGAGGCCATTCTATATCTGCAGTTGCTTGAATGTTCATTGCTGTTTGTTCATTTCTTTTCATGTCTGGGATTCTTTGCGGTGCCCATTAGTGTATGACCATGTGGGTTTTGTTATATCTTGGCTGCTATGTGTGTGCATGTTGCACTTCGTGTCGGTGCTTGCACTGCACGGGGATCACCGGCAGAAGGGAGTAGTGCATGATGATGGTCATGCCGAGCAGCTGCCCATGATCCTAACCTGAAGCAAACTGGAACAAACATGCCAGAGCACGGCCCATTATACTATAACTATAAAAAAGGAACCCCCCAAATAGTATAGGTAATTATTAAGGCCCCTATACTATAGTACCCTCCTGGATCGCATGGGGCAGTGAGAGTCCGAATCCGGTTGGATTGGCAAGAGATGTTAAGCTTGGTCTGGCAGAGATATAGCTGATGCCTACTGAATGTGCAGGCGCGAGTTCGCTTTGTTTGGTGAGGCTTTGTCCAGTTAAAGTTAATGCTGGGCAGAAGGTCAGGCAAGCCGCTTGATTTCGGTTTAGTTATGCAAGAGTGCCGCAATGGAATTGAACACAGAACGGGGATGAATCCTCAACGGGCCTTTGCTACAGGATGCCGACGTCCGTGCGTTGCAGCCGATTCTTCTCTTTCCCGGTCTCGAAACCCAGGCCACCGAGTGTGTGTTGCATTCAAGAGTCCAGGATTCAGGGTGGCAAGCAGAGGCGCAGGTCGAAATCGTGCATGCGTGTGTCGGCGGATCTTCTGACTTCGGACGTCACGGGATGCTTGGTTTCTCAGACTCCCGCTTCAAAGCCGCCTGGGGAAACTGAGAAACTGGCTGGCCCTCAGGGTTTGTAGTTCTGAGTAATTATTATTATTACTATTATTACTACTACTACTACTACTACTACTACTACTACTACTACTACTACTACTACTACTACTACTATTATCACTATTAGTATTATTATTTTTTAGTACTTATTAGTACTATTATTATTCTTAATTTTATTTTTATCATTACTATTTTTACTATATGGAGTTCTGTCCGGTGAGGTCGCCAAGAAGACGGCTGAGAGCAGCCCAGTGCTCCATCCTGAGGTATCCGGCAGAGCTTACCGGGACCCGGTAGGGCTTTGGGACATTTTATATTTTCCCTTATTGGCTCTTACTTACTAATATTTTTCAAAGGCTTTAAAAGCCCCACCTAGGGGAGATTAGCACCCTATAGCGGCACGATAGCATCTGAGAGTCTTGAAACCCAACCCTTCATGGCCATAGGCAGAAGTTCGAATGTAACAGTTCCTGTGGTATACTCTGAACTTGCTCCAGACCGAAGAGTACGAATCGGATCTCGTGCCTTGACACTCAGGGTCCACTATGATTAATGCCGCATGCTTGAACTAGAACGAGATGAGGACGATTGTTTGGTAGTTTGCCGTCCCCGTGGCCGCTAGTAGTAGAAACAGCAGTTGCCTACCATGATTGGTGCTAGTTCGTGTTGTTGTTAGTGCCAGGGTCAACCTTGTCAATGTCTGACCAGCTTGGCCGGAACCGTTCGAGTTGTTCGAGACATGGGGAGGATGCAGGGAGCTGTGGAAGGCACCGACGGAGCACTTCGCATCGAGTTTGGCAGTGTTTGCTTGAGAGTTCCACCTAGTTGTCTTGCTACCTCGCTTAGAGATCTTTCACGTGTAGAGAACTGAAGTTGAAGCCGTCGTAATCGTCGACTTTGAACTTAGACCCTGACCCCCAGAGTCTCCTGAGACCTAGTCCTTGCCGAGTCTGGCAAGCCTCTACAGACTCTACGGACAGAACTCTTGGTGCCTAGGATAGCCCACAGCTTCGAATGCCCAGACTGTGCTGATCGTTTTCAGGACTGGGCGAGGTTTCAAGGGTTCATGGAATCGGGAAGGCACTGCGCAAAGGTTTTGTTGTTGTCGAAGTTTATCAGGTCTTGTCAGGTGAAGATTACCTTGCATGGAATCTCAGTGGATCGTATCACAAAGGATACTCTCAGCACTTACAATACCTGGATTCGCTTAAGTCGTCTACAAAAACCTCTTCCTTCCAACCCCATGGAATCTGCAGCTTTCTCGGCTTCCCAGGGTCAACCTCCAATCCGACATCTGCACTTCAGGGGAATCGCGTGAAGCTTCAGGTCCCTCAAAGCAATTGCAAGTTTCGTGTCGAGATGGTGCTTGAAAGAAGGATGTGATAGGCGCCAGTCCTTTGAGCAGTCGTGTCGAGGACTGGGATGCTTGCCGGGAGCATCTAGCCATCAGCTCAGTGCAAAGTTCTCCTTGGTTGTTGCCTTGCTGGCTGGTACGCGCGCCTTGCCTCCTCTCGCTCACCCACTTTCACAATCACGCTCGAAGACTCTTTCTCTCTCTCTCTCTCTCTCTCTCTCTCTCTTTTTGTTTCCCTCTTTCTCTCTCACTCCCTCACTCTGACAAACTACGAGTGTAGTGTTGCTTGCGGGTGCAAGTTGCGTGTGGTAGTGGTCGTCGTAGTCGTAGAAGCCATAGAAGCCGTAGAAGTCTAACTAGAAGTTGCAGCAGCGGGATCAGGAGAAGGAGCGGGAGGGGAAACAAGAGCAGCAGGTGCAGCAGCAGGCGAAAAAGAGGGAGGTGTTGTTGCTGTTTGTTGTGAGTGTTCCTGGATGTTCCTGGTGGCGGTGGTGGTAGTGGCAGTGGTGCTGGTCTTGGTCTCAGTCTTGGCCTTGGCCTGGGAATTGGTACCCGTGTCGGTGTTGGCATTGGTGGTGCTTGCTGCTGTGGTTCGAGTTATGCTCGCTGTAAGATGTGCCGCGCAAGCTTACCACCAGTCCCATTGCAAAGGCTGGAGTCCGTTCAACCCTTTCTTTGGGACAGAACTCGCGCAGGTGAACACGGGCCATCTCGATGCCGGGGGCCTGGAGCTCTCCCAAGTAGGAGGGTTCATGGGGCCGGCTTAGGGCTCGCTGGCCACTCCCGGGTTTTACGTCCGTGACCAGTACCTGCTTTGCGTCATTTAGATCCCCAAGTTGGGTCTGGCCTAAGTTCCCGAAGCTCTGATGCCAACGTGAAACTGGCTGACGTTTTCGATTGGTAAACCTAGATAAGTGGCGGTTTGGGTTTTTGGAGCGTTTTGATGTTTGCATGTTGGAGCGGACTTATGCTATGACATTCTTGACTTTGGAAGGACTGCCAAGTTTCGCTGCTCTGCAACATACTCCTTAAACTCTTAAACTTCCTAGCCTGGCGGATCCTCACTTACTTTGTGAGCGTCGGTTTTTTTGTTTTGAAGCACTTGGAGAAGTAGTGTTTGTGCTGTTATATACGTGAAGGGGAGATCATTTCGACGTCTGTTTGCAGCGATGCTTATGAGCATGGCCAATGCCCACGGCTTTCCCTTTCTCCAGACAGTAGCAACAGCAGCACCAACAAAAGCGATGAAAAACAATGGCAGCAAGACAACAAGCGCTTCGCTGCCGCCACGACGATTAGCATTACAACTGCTAGTTTTCAGAGTATACCACGTCTGTTCGGAAGCAGTAGGCAGGAGATGCAGCTGATGAAGTGAGGGGTGGTTTTGGATGACACTTGCCATGAGATTCTGCTTCACGTGAACATGCGACATGCTAATAAGTACAGACTGAACTCCCCAGCCCACACCGGCTGAAACCGGCGACTAAGCCCGAGCTGCAAATGTAGTTTGCAACGGCGAAGGTTTGGCTCCAATAGCCGTGTTTGAGGAGCCGGTGCAAAGGAACCTCGTAAACCCTTCGTGTCATTTCTTGCCTTCGTCCGCAAGAGCCTGAAGTTGTATGAGGGTATATAGTATATTGGAGCTTTCGGGCATTGATTGGCAGCACCGGCGGAGGTGTCGACACCGGAAGCGGAGACCGTGGTCGATGCCCTACATGTTTGCACATTGCATTCAAGACATTGTCACTCTTGCTATTCGCTGTTGCTATAACGATTACGGTGGCGAGTGCCTTTTACTTTCGTTGTCTACTACTTTTATGACTGCGACTTTGACATGTACGTTTACATGTAATGCTTCTTGTTGCTTCTTCACAACAACTATGGCTATGGCGACTTGGGCATCTACGACGACTAAGGTGCTGCGACTTCCACCACTATTAGACTAGTAATGCTATTGCGACGACTACTATTTACGACAACTTACTACTACTTCCTACTACTTCCTACTACTGCTTCTACTCCTGCTTCTACTCCTACTTGTCCTACTCCTACTGGTCCTACTCCTGCGGCTGCAGCAACGGTTACGGCCACGGGTACGGCTACGGCTTGCCGCTGCTGCTGCTTCTGCTACTGCTACTGCTACTACTGCCACGAGTACTGAAGTACTACTTCACTACTACTACTGCTACTACTACTACTACTACCACCACTACTTCTACTACTTCTGCCACTTCTACTACTTCACTTCTACTACCGTTACTACTGGTACTACTGTTACTACTGCTGCTGCTACTGCTGCTGCACAACAACAACAACAACAACAACTACAACTACTACTACTACTACTACTACTACTACTACTCCTGCTGCTGCTTGCTGCTCCTATTACTGCTACTGCTACTGCTACTGCTACTGCTACTGCTACTGCTACTGCTACTACTACCAGTCAGCACTTGTGATTTACCTGTAGTGTGTCCATCATGATTTAGCGTTACTGTTGACGGCTCACTTACAATTGCGAAAGTTTGTGCTATTGACGTTGCTTCTGCTGGCGCTACCACTATTGCCATTACAAAGGCTCTAGGTTTTGCCATTAGGGATCCCTACGGGCTCCTTAAAGGGATCTATAAGGGCTCTATGAAGGGTTTAGGGTTTGGGAGTTTCCGAAAATTAGGGGCACCTTATTTTGGGGTCCTCATCATAAGGATCCTACTATTTAGGGTGCTATATCAGGGTCCCTTATTTTCGGAAACTCCCACTTGATTGTCGTGGTAAGCAAGGCTGCGACCTTCTAAAGTCTCAGATGCCCAAAGAGAGGCGATATAAATTAGGCCCGAAATCCAGTTTTCCGGGGTCGCCGTTTCCAACTACCAGCTAGCAGCACTTAATTCCGAAAGCCCCGAGCCACCAGAACACTTAACTCTCCAGCTCATACCAAACTTCAAGTGACATGAGGCCAAAAAGCAGCTGACAAAGCCAGTTCGATGGCGTTGCTTAGAGCCGCTCCCCTCAGCTTTCGTCACTTTGCGACGATGATGATGACACTTTGCCGATGACTATGACGAAGATGATGTAGTAGTACGCAGCAGTAGAAGTAGCAGTAGCAGTAGCCGCAGCAGTAGCAGTAGCAGTAGCAGTAGCAGTAGCAGCAGCAGCAAGCAGCAGCAGGAGTAGGAGTAGGAGTAGGAGTAGGAGTAGGAGTAGGAGTAGGAGTAGGAGTAGTAGTAGTAGTAGTAGTAGTAGTAGTAGTAGTAGTAGTAGTAGTAGTAGTAGTAGTAGTAGTAGTAGTAGTAGTAGTAGTAGTACTGCTACTAGTACTAGTACTAGTAGCAGCAGTAGTAGCGGTAATAGCAGCAGCAGCAGAAGTAGCAGTAGTAGAGTAGTAGTAACTTAATAGTAGTAGCAGCAGCAGTAGCAGTAGTTACAGCAGCTTGTCAATTGCCCGTGTACTTGCGCAGACAGCTTGGTTCTGGTGGTTGTGAAAAAGTTGCCGAGCAACGAGTCAGACGCTGTCGCGTCAGGTACTCTCTATGTGTCGAATCGTGACTTACCGAATAGTCTGATTACATCATCTCTACGTTTTGTCTCTCCCATCCTTTGTTGCCAGTAACAAGTGGTCGCTACTCTCGCAAAGGCCTCATTTTGGGATGTTCCACGTGTGAGCAGACGAGTTCGATTGTGGCTTTGCTCCCGCAAGCTTGATGGACATAAGTGCTAGGCCAAAACGGCAAGAAGCTCCCTGGCCCTAAACCCTGAACCATATTTCCGAAGGAATTAGAGACCACGGCCCACCCTCTCCGCAGTTTGGTTGATGTCCGTAGCTCCGAAAACGTTCGTTCTTAAGCGACCAGTTTTCGCTGCTTCTCCGATGCACACTGCGCGTAGCAGAGCCACAGCTAAAAATGTGTCAGAGTGCTCCACAAACCTTCCGCGCAACCAAATCCCAAACATTATACGTGAGTATACCCAAGATCCTAAGCCCTAAATGAACCCTACGCATGCTAAACCCGTCCTAGATCAAACCGACGAGGTGTTTCGAAGGTTTTGCCACGAAGGCCGACTTGGAGAAACATCTGCGGGAGCCGAGCCCTTAAATGGTGTAACTGTATGAAGGGGCCCAAACGAATAGTATCGGTAGTTATTCAGGCTTCTATAGTACCGGGAGGTGATTGTCGGTTGTTTGTCCGAGTTTTTAGGTTTTAGCTCCGGGGTTTTGGGGTTCAGGGTGTACGCTTTGGGCCCGAGCCGGGTCACGGCTACTCCATACGACCAGAGGCTTTCCGTGTTGTTGCTGCTCAGTTTTTGCAGGGTGAGCGACGAGGATGCCATAATTGTGTAGTAGACTATTCAACTCAGGGCTGGCGCTTAAAATTGCAAAGTATAGCTGCTTACCAAGACTTTTGATTAGGACGGTGAGGAATTCTGGAAACAAGCTCAGAGACATGCATGGCAACTTCTGTGCAGCACTCAGGACCCATCACTTGGCATTTGCTGAGACTGACACGGTGAGGCAGGGCCAGTCTTTCGCCCTCGAAGTTGTAAGCATCAGGGCAAGAGTATGAGGCTCAGAAGGTATCGCCGTCTTCCTCCCATTTCATACTTTGGAAAACAATTCGCAAGCCGATTCGGTCAAACGATGTGTGTATACATGTACACACGGTAACACACGCATACACATGTTACCCGCCCATACCGGCCGCGCTGCTCCGTCGCTGGCAACAACGCGACCACGACAGTGACATAGTGGGGCTGGAGTCGTAGATCGGACAACCCAGAATCTGACAAGGAGAAGATGCTGTGCGGCAGCCTGCAAGTTACAACCGTAACGGTACCAGGAGCACAGTTACCCGCAGCATGACCCAGAAAGGAAAAAGAAAAGCCTCTTGTTGCGCAGTACCTCTGTGACGTAGCTGGACAAGGCAGAGTGCATCGGTACCTAGGATGCCCAGTAGTACCCTTATTCCCTTTCTGTAGTCCTGGGTTCCTTATAAAGTTACCCAATACCAAAAAGGGAGCCCTTCTTACTCCTAGGTTACTGGGCATCCTAGGTACAGTAGTCGACGACTGCAGACTGCCAGCCAAGCAGCGGGCACTGCACACAAGCTCACGCTGTACTAGTGACAGTGTGTAATAGGGGCAGTACCGGTAGTGGTAGTCGTTGTCGCCATCGTCGTCGTAAGTAGTAGTAGTAGTAGTAGTAGTAGTAGTAGTAGTAGTAGTAGTAGTAGTAGTAGTAGTAGTAGTAGTAGTAGTAGTAGCAGTAGCAGTAGCAGTAGCAGCAGTAGCAGTAGCAGTAGCAGTAGCAGTAGCAGTAGCAGTAGCAGTAGCAGTAGTAGAAGTAGTAGTAGTAGTAGTAGTAGTAGCAGTAGCCCAGCAGGCGTCCGAAGGCACAAAACAAAGTCGTGCAGCATGCGCCTGCTCACACCAGGGAATCTTTGTAGTCGTGCCTGAAACCTCGCCTGAGCGTCTCGAAAGCCAGTGTTCACAAAGAGTCGTAGCAGAAAATGCAATAGTAGTAGGAGCAGCAGTAGCAGCAGTAGCAGTCGGGGTCTTAGTGGTAGTAGTAGTAGCAGTAGCAGTAGTAGTTGCAGTCGTAGTCGTAGTGTAGTAGTAGTAGCAGTAGTAGCAGTAGTAGCAGTAGTGGCAGTAGTAGCAGTAGTAGAAGTAGTAGAAGTAGTGGTTAATAGTATCAGTATCAGTATCAGAAGTAGTGGCAGTGGCAGTAGCAGCAGCAGTAGCAGCAGCACTAGCACTACCAGTATCACTAGCACCAGCACTACCACCAGCACTAGCACTAGTAGAAGTAGCAGTAGGTCGTCGTAGTCGTAGTCGTAGTCGTCGTCGTAGTAGTAGTAGTAGTCGTAGTAGTCGTAGTAGTAGTAGCAGCAGTAGTAGTTGTTGTTGTTGTCGTAGTTTTGTTGTTGTCGTAGTGGCAGTTTAGCAATAGTAGTAGTAGTAGTAGTAGTAGTAGTAGTAGTAGTAGTAGTAGTAGCAGCAGCAGCAGCAGTAGTAGCAGTAGCAGTAGTAGAAGCAGCAGCAGCAGTGGCAGTAGCAGTAGCAGTAGCAGCAGCAGCAGTAGAAGTCGCAGCAGCAGTAGCAGCAGCAGTAGTAGTTGTAGTTGTAGTGGTCGTTGTTGTTGGTGTTGCTGTGGTGGCTGTTGCTGTTGTTGCTGCTGCTGCTGCTGTTGCTGTTGCTGTTGCTGTTGCCGTTGTTGTTGCTGCTGTTGCTGTTGGTACAGACAAAAACAGCAGCCCGCAATTGTTGTTAATTGAAGCAATTGGGAATGCTTCCGGCGACCACACAGGGTGCCTGTAGAGGTTTGGGGCATGCGAGCCATGGTTTACAGAGCAACTGCCCCATGATAGAAATGCGGTGTAGGCTGGGTGGTTGTTGTAAAGGGGGGATCAAATCAACAGACGGGGCTCCAGTTGTTGTCTCTACCGGAGGGTAGAGACAAAGTCCTGGTTTCAATGGGGCCTTTGTCTCTACCCTGTGGTAGAGACAAAAACTGGGAGCCTCGTCTGTTGTTTTGAACCCCCCCTTTACAACAACCACCCACATTACACCACATTTCCACCACAGGTGTGGGAATCTACGAAATCCAGAAAGGTTCTCATGGGCTTTGAAAGGGCTTGTCTGGAATTTTGACGGGTTTGAATTAGTCATCGAACGGCTCAGAAAGGATTTGAGGGTAGATTGACGGATTTTATGTGATGTTGAGTTGAAGGGCTTGATCCACGTCTGATGCTTTGGGCATGCGCACACAAAGTCTTTTCAAAACGACACAAAATCCATGGACAAACCATCAAAATCCACACAAAAAAACGTGCAAATACACACAAAATCAACGGATATGTGCAACAAGTCCTTGGAAATTCTTACAAATCCAAGAAATAACACGAAATCCTTGCAAATACGCACGAAATCGTTGCAAATGCACACAAACTCAACCAAATCCTTGCAAATACACACAAACTCCTTGCAAATACACACAAACTCCTTGCAGACGCACGCAAAATCCATGAACATAAGCTGAATCGATTAAACCACCTTCTTCAAAACCATTCGAACCCTATACACCATAGGCACTGTGTTGTTGTTGTTGTTGGGGGAAACAACATGACGGGGCTCCTGTTTTTGTCTCTATCTAATGTACAGACGAAACGCAGATATATGGGTTGACGGGGCTGCAGTTTTTTATGTGTACCCTGTTGTTGTTGTTGTTGTTACTGTTGTTGTTGTTCTTCTTGTTGTTATTACGGTTATTATTATGGTTGTTGTTTGTTGTTTCTTGTTACTATTCTTGGTGTTCTTGTTATTGTTGTATTATTACTATTTTTGTTATTATTCTTTTTGCTCGTAGTTATTATTTTTGTCATTCTTCTTGTTATATTTAATCTTGTGTTTGTTCTGTTGTTGTTGCTGCTGCTGCTGCTGCAGCAGTGGCAGCAGGAGGTGTTTTAGTAGTCGTCGTTGTAGTCGCAGCAGCAGTTGTCAGTAGTCGGGGTGTTGGTGATAGTGGCAGCAGCTGCAGCAATAGTACAAGCGCCATTGTGGCAAACATAATCGATAAGAGTAACAGCGCCTACGGTTTTTCTGCATGCGTAGGTTCAACCTTTGCAAGCCGCGTCCCATCCCGGAGCTCGACGATCCGTCCGCGGTCATTTCCCGCAGGCCTTGAGGGCTTTGGGATGAGGATTCGGTGTTACACTCAGGGCTTCGGGAGGAGGAGACTTGAAGGATCCGGGATGGAGGTTTTACGTCCCAGACCTGGTTTTCAAGTTTACGGCTTCTATTTCGCTTTGTTGTTCCACTAAGTGCACGCTGGCTTTGCCGCGGAGCTTCGGCACTGCGACGCAGAAATACAGCTATAAATACATATAAAAATGGAGCAAATACATGTGTATATATGTATACCTAGAGAATCCGGCGGCCATAATTTTTGCCGCCAAGGCCAAGGAAAACGGTAAATATTTCAGGCGGCAATATCCAGAAAAGGCGGCAACCAACAAAAGCGCCGGCAAATGAAGAAAAAACGCCGACAAAGACAAAAAACTCATTCGACTAAAACACAAGACTCGCACTCCGTTCAACGCAACGCGTAAATCCTGCAGCGGAACCGCGACGTCATGAATCTGTTGAATGCTGTGGTGGTCGGATTTGTTTGGTGTGATGCACTCGGCCAATTCGTCGAACAAGAATATCTAGCTACTCGTACAGGGGACGGGCTGATGGGTTGAGGTTTGAAGGGTTGGGCTGTTTCAACTAGTTAACAATCCTAACTCCGAAAGTCACCACTGAGCTCAGGCTCGTTCAGGCGTCGAGTGATTGCGGTTGTTAGTTCGGGTGTTGGGGTTTTGGTGGATTTCAAGCGACAGGCCTGTAAGTTCGATCCTTTGTGGCTCAGAGCAGATCCGGGAATTCTGGCTTCAGAGCAAAGACCTCAAGGTGTACGGTCTGGGGATCCGTGCTAGGCTTTGGAGATAAGTATGTGGTTATGGGGGTCTGTCATAGTTCTAGATGCACCGCTCAAACTGTCATTGTCAGGATCTATGTCTTTTCTTTGTCAAAACGTCTGGGCGAGAAGGGTGCCATGCGATGCTCTGTGGTGCTTGGGTGGTCGTCCTGGCTTATCCCGCCGGAATCCCGGGTGTTCCGCCGGGATCCCGGGCAATCCCGCCGGCACCCGGGCATCCAAAAACACACACCGCAGCGCGCAAAGAGGGTGAAAAAACAGCTTAACGTCCCCAAGCAGGTTCGGAGCCTGCGCGAGGCCGCTCTGGTGCTGTTCTCTCTCTCTGCCTTTCTCCGTACCTGTTTCCCAAAGGACCCATGGATGCTCCCGATGCTCGCTCGTCCCCGAACATGAACTGAAACAAGATTCGGTTTCACCCTTCTCTCGCTCTGTATGATTCTCCCTCTCCCTTCCTTGCTCCCATCCTCCAGCCGCTCCAGGCCTACCTCGATGCTTTCTATCTTTCCGTTTGCCTCTCACAGCTATGCAGCAATAGTGCAGCCTGTTCTTTTTGCATCGCTAGCAAAAAACAAAAATCAATCCATTTCTTCCATAGCCAAACAACTCGACTTGTGCTGTCCAAACATCTGAGCCCGTCCGCTGATGATTTCATGAATGCCGAACCAAGCATGTTTGACTGAAGACCAACACGGTGGGAAGAAGGCAAGCTTCCTGGCGGCGCCAGCAGCTACAAAGGTCGCTTCGAGCAGCGAAACGAGCTGCGAGACAGGGCTTTATGCGATTCCGCCGACAAATTTTCAATCCCGCCGAAACCCGGGCAATCCCGCAGCCGACCGGGTAAAGGAGTTTTTGCCCGGCGCCGGCGTTTATAAAAGGCGTAAAGAGTTCCCAGGTATGTATATAGATTATAGTCTGCAGAAGTCTCGCTTATGGTGGTTCCGGCGGCACTCAGGTGAAGTGTGCCGATGTAAGCCTGTAGAACTCGATGGTTTCCCGGGTTTCAGATGGCAGGGGTGTTATAGGGTTTAAGGTTTAGGACTGTGTTTCCTGTTGTGTAGGCAGGTTTGCGAGGGTTTGGGCTTTCTGCGCCGTGTGCTCTGAGTTGAGACTAGATGAGTGAGGAGTAAACACACTGATTTGGGAGTTTCCGAAAAAAGAGGACCCTAATATACCACCCTAAATAGTAGGCTCCTTGCTATAAGGACCCCCTTACTAAGGTACCTCCCCCCCTCCCCCTAATTTTCGGAAACTCCCATGTAATGTTCTTGACCCCATGAGCGCCTCTAGGAGGCCGTCGGCTGTGCACTTACGTGCACATGGGAGTTTCCGAAAATAGGGGACCCTGTAGGATAGAACACTGAATAGTAGGATCCTTATTTTAAACTTTAAGGACCCCCAAATAAGGTACCCCTATTGTCGGAAACTCCTACATGGTTCAATCGTTTAGGATAAGGAGGGGCGGGGCGATGGAGGGGGGCCTAGGTTGGGAAGGCTAAAAAATCCACGGACATGGTTCTATCATTTGCCGTTTTTTGTCAGGTCAACCCAAATTCAAGCCGCATATAAACCCGTTACCATGGCCTGTATCATCGCTATCATCATGATCTGCATCCTCCCCTTCATCGTGACCATTATGACATGCACCTTGCGGGAGAAGTTAGACTTACGGAGATGCTGCTCATTTCGAAGTTCGCCAAAGCTTCGTCCACGATAATGTTGCAGCAAGTTCAACAATGAAGTTACTGGGTCCAACAAAATGTTTCAAACAAACATAAACGCACAGTTTATTCGGTAAAATTGTGAGCCTTTCCATGCGGTGTTTCCGGTCTTGTCGAAGAACACTATGGCACATAGCATGTGCACTTTCTGTGGGTTTTGCTTCACATCCAAGCCTCCATGCCTACCGTGTAAGACGTGCTTGGATGCACGGACTCTTACAGGGGCCATTGCCTTGTTTTGGAGTTGTTGGTACTAAGACGTTAAGGCAGAGTCACGGTCGGGAATTTGGGTATCAGCGTTCAGGCCGTTCAGGTTTCAGGAGCCGGGGCAAGCACGCCTACGTGGGAGTTAGTGTTCTAGGTACCTAGAGGCTCCATAGTAATTCCTTTTTGGGGTTCATATTGAGATTCCTATAAGGTAATCCCCAAAAGGAACTACTATGGAGCCTATGGGTAACGACAGGGGATAGAGTTTCCGATGCACCTGGTAAATTATGGATGCGAGACTCTAGGCTGGTGGATGCTTTTTCCACGACTACGCGGGTCAGGTTTGATGATGTGTTAATAACGATAAGTTACAATGTAATATTTGAACAGACTTTACTGTATTGGTGCGATTTATTACTATTATTATTATGTTGCAAGTAAGTTGTGCTGTCTTGAAATCATGTTGAATGCTCGGCTGCTCGGCGGCTAGAGTAGAGAACTGCGCGGGGCACCCGCGCAAGGGCACACGAGCTGAATTTTCGTGAATTCAATCGGAGTTTCCGAAAATAGGGGACCCTAATATAGTACCCTAAATAGTAGGATGTCCGAGTGTGAGCGCCGAAATAGTAGGATGTTTCTTATAGGGACCCCAAAATGAGTACCCCCAATTTTCGGAAACTCCCAATCGGGCACTAACACCCATAACAGGGAGTGACGCTGACACGACGCTTGATGATTGGAACCTTTTGGCCTCCTTTGTTCCCCTTGCAATGGCTAACACATGCACAAGGCCAGTTTAGCAAATCTGCAGGGATACGAAGCACATATGTTTCCCTGTGTGAAGAGTGTACCTGGGTAGAACCAGATACTCGCACGACACACCAAGATGGAGATACATAAAGTCGTATCAGTTCCTCGAAGGTGCTACCAACTTTCACTGCAGACATCATCTCTTGTGCCACCTAAAGTATGCTCGACAGAAATGATAGGGGCAGCAGTGTGGGGACAGCTACAGTACCGAGGCGCCCGGCGCAACACTAGACAAGTTTCGGCAGTGTTTTAAACATTCCGATGTGAGCCAGTATATAAATCAGTCAGCACAAACCTTCGCCCCAGAAGCCTCAACCTGCGCCCAATAAAACCGTCGGAACCCCCATCCGCTGGCAATCCTCGAGTTGGCAGGTTACAACAATCCTTCGGGCAAGAGGCAGGACCGACAGAATCGGGCCTTTCATTGATTTTGAGTGGGCTTCGAGTGCTAGGAAGATTGTCGGAAACTGCCATATGGGAGTTTCCGAAAATAGGGGAACCTAATATAGTACCCTAAATAGTAGGATCCTTATTATAAGGACCCCAAAATAAGGCACACCCTGTTTTCGGAAACCCCCCATATTTCTCTCTTGAGTTTGCGATTCGCCCGCTCGGCCGAACGTGCCATGCTTGTGGGCCGTTGGGGAAACCCCCCCCCTCAAGCTGAGGCCGAGCCGGAAGCTGCGACAGAAGAGGAGCCAGTTGGCTTCTTCCGCAAGCCTGGCACGGATTTCTTGCCTTGGCGGTTGACACTCCGACTTGATGGTTGAAATTCCGAAAAGCGCGTGCTGGACTTTTGCTTCACAGCTGCAGTCACTCATGCTGCCGAGGGGGCGAGTGCCGATAGACCTTGGCCACCCTTGGCCTGGAGTATCTTGAATCACATATGCTCACGTCGGTCGCATGGCCATGCAAGTACAAACGAGCACTCCACTTCGGAATAAGGCAGTCCATGTTGCTGCGCACCCGCAGTATATCTTTCGATTCCTTTGCACTTCGTACACAAAAACGGCCTACTACCCTTTAATGTGGCTGTCTCCAAAGGCATTGTTGAGACACTCACTGCATGCTTCTGCCAGGCTCATTGCGAAGGACGCTCTCGGCGCCGTCTTCTATTCCGGCAGGGAGCTGAGCCTGAGGTGGTGTCTACAACGAATTCAGACTGGGTTCACTAAACCCTGAAACCTAGCCCTTGGAATGTGACCTGAGTGTGGCCAAAGTAGTTTAGTCGTCTGGCGGAGGTCCTCAAACTAGGCAGCTCTCTTAAGAGGAAGTCTGCAGATACTGGTGACTCCTGCTTGAGCAGGTTTGTACTACTATTGGTTGGTCGTTGTTTTGTCACCGGTTTAAGTGTAGTTTCATCGACCTGCAGACGTTTGTCGCGCCGGGGTTGTCCGAGTTGCGAACACCGAAAACTGAAACCCCTACCATGCTTTCCGACGTGTTCGCAAGCCCTAAATCCTAAACCCAAAGGCCCACTTTTGCAATCGGTTGAGTGAACGCTGGGTTTCCAGAACCCTAAACCCTAAACCTTGGAGTGTATCCCACGGAGATCGACACAGAAGACAGCCTAAATAAATAGCCAACAGCATGTACCGGGCAATGAAGTACGAAGTTCAGTGGAGAATGACTCGGGCAAGGGAGCATCAAATCCAGAAGGGAAGTGAAGAACCAGGAGTACTGAGAGCTAAAGGAACCACAGCCTTCCGGTAAGTCGGATTGCACAAATAGAAGACTCTTCTAGCAGTCTCAAAAAGGCATTCAAAAAAAAAAGAAAACTTGGAGTGTTGAGGTTTTGAGGTTGTGCGTGATCCTCTTGGCCAGGTCAGGGGTTGCCAAATGGGAGTTTCCGAGAATAGGGGACCCCAATTATAGTACACTAGATAGTAGGATCCTTCTTACTATAAGGATCCCACAATAAGGTACCCCTCATTTCTGGAAACTCCCAGAAGGGCGTTTACTCTAGTGCGGAAGCTTAAGGAAATCTAGCCTGCCTAAGTGCTTGCGACTGCCGGCCAACGGGGGACGCCTATGGAAGAAACAGTGTACCCGCCAGTCGACGTTAACGAATGGGTGGTTGGTCAGCCCTGTTCTCTCGTATTGAGAGGTCCCTCTGAGCCAGCATGGCTTTCGGAAGGTTGTACTCCGCTGACGGAAAAGAGGGGATGTTTAAGAAACAAAGAGCTTAAGAAGCCCTGCAAGGACTCCCTGCAAGGTTCACCCCAAAAAGCCAAACCTGAGCCCTCGACCCTGAGCCCTTGTAGCTCGGAGCGCGAGTGCCTGGCACCCCGAGGCTCGCCAGGCTCAGGAGTGTGGTGGGGGCTCGGGGCTTTAAGAGTCTCTTTAGGGATGTCGGATTACTACTATAAGACGAAAGTGACACAATGGCTTCTTTAGGGTCACGATGCCGGGTCCTATCAGTGTTGCTATGACATGCCATGACGATTTCGAGGTTTTAGGGGTGTATTATTTGAGGTCAGGGTTTAAGGCTCTGTAGGGTTTTTAATATCTCGTGCTTAGGGTGTTAAGAGGCTTAGCGTGTTCGGGTCCAGGGCGTTTTACTGGGCATCTTCGTATACGGGTTTGGGGATGCCCGCAGAAACTTTCATGTGTTTAAACCACCGAATAAGTGAACGTGTTTTTGCTTGTTTGTTCGGTTGGTCACAGACCCGCGATCGAACCAGCTACTGGTAACAGTTACCTGTACCGCAGCTGATGAATCCGAATCAAGATCTCTCGCTTTATGGGTTCGAAGCTTGCAGTTGGATCTTGAAGTTGTAGTCGTGTGCTCTTGAGGTCGAATTATGAATAGCCGAATAACCCTCCCCGGTTAAGTTCCTAACGCCATTGCACTACACTCTGCTGCATGACCACATTCAGATTATGAAGGCGCCTGCATTGGATTGGAATTGGCTCGCAGACGCTCCCTGATCCAAAGGAGTTGCTGCCAGAGTTTGTGGAGCTGGCCCGGGATATCAAGCTGGACGGGGAGGGTTAAGGGTCGAGGGTCCCAAGGGTGTGTAGCGTTTGCCGGGGTTTCCGGCATGCACAAAATGTGGATTACCGGGTTTGAAACTCCAGAAATCGGCGCCACAGCCGTCCGTGCCGTAGCTGCTTTGGCACGACGGCTGCTTCAGTTGGTCGCTCACAGTGTCGGAATAGAGCAGCCGAGGACTCTTTCGAGATGTCGTGAAGCCAATACTTGGAGGCTCCATAGTAATGCGGTTGATGATATAAATCCTGCATGACCCCTAATAAGGAATATACCATAATTTCCATAGTTTAGGGTCCTGAAGGTAATGCAGGATTTAGATCATCAACCGTAGTAGTTCCCTGGTGATCCAAAAACCTTCCGTTTTAGGGGTTAGACCCTCTAATTAAAGGGTCATAACCTACTATTTTGTAGGGTTTGGGGAGGATCCTCTAAGGTATTCCCAAAAAGGAACTACTATGGAGCCTATGGGTACCTGGCAGCTTACCTGCGACATGAGCTGTAGCACAACCCCTACCCGCAAACCAAACCTGAGTGAAGGTCCGGAAATGCCTAAAACCTACGAACATCCGAAACCACCAGAAGCATTTTCGCCCGCTCGCCCTTACTAAGTAGGAGAGCAAGCATTGGCCTACATCCAACCAAATTCCGAAACCCCACCTCAACGCTACAAACATCCGACATTCCAAACTTCAAGGGTAAAAGGATGGACCCTTAATAAGGACCCCTAGGTATATACCCTTAATATAGCTATTATATACACCATTATATGGCCCATTATAGGGTAGGGGTCCCCATTAAGCGGCCCTCCTTTTCCCCTTTGACTCAAACCGTAAGTCCTCCAAAGGACCTGCCAGTAAAGCTGAAGCTGCAACAGCTGGATCTTGAGGAGGTTCGGCCGCCATTTCGGTTTGCAATCTTGCCGAGAGTAAGTACTTGGTGCTGTTTGTGCCGCAAAAAACTTCAGCAGTGTGGACTACTACTACTACTACTACTACTACTGCTACTACTACTACTACTACCTACTACTACTACTACTACTACTACTACTACTACTACTACTACTACTACTACTACTACTACTACTACTACTACTACTACTACTACTACTACTACTACTACTACTACTACTACTACTACTACTACTACTACTACTACTACTACTACTACTACTACTACTACTACTACTACTACTACTACTACTACTACTACTACTACTACTACTACTACTACTACTACTACTACTACTACTACTACTACTACTACTACTACTACTACTACTACTACTACTACTACTACTACTACTACTACTACTACTACTACTACTACTACTACTACTACTACTACTACTACTACTACTACTACTACTACTACTACTACTACTACTACTACTACTACTACTACTACTACTACTACTACTACTACTACTACTACTACTACTACTACTACTACTACTACTACTACTACTACTACTACTACTACTACTACTACTACTACTTACTACTACTACTACTACTACTACTCTCAGGCAAGTGGCAGTGACATGGAATGGGGGGTTGGGGTTCAGGGTTTGTGTCCCACTGCACCAGGCTCGGGATCTCATCGACAATATGAGGAGAGGCTTGCCTGAAGCGTCATTTCTTGACTGGCACGTCTGGTTGGTAATACTCGTGGGTTTTGGTTGGCTCAGGACCCTTCTGTTTCTTTTAGGGAGCATTCATGACTTCGGATCTACCCGTAGTTGTTACTGGGGGCTTGATGCGATGCTGGAGTGTGCCCGTTCTGTCAATGGTCGATTCAAGGATCTTTGCTGGACGTCCGGCTTTCCTGTGCATAACACTAGGGGCACTCGCTGGATTGCTTCTTCTTGCCCCGGTCGCTGAGGAAAGCCGGTTGCTATCGATAATCCAAACGGTTGGCTCATGAAGGCCAGGGCCCCAGCCACATCCGTCAGCTTGGGTTGGTTTGGTGTGTTGGTTGTTCGAGTTGAGCTGCTTCAGCAGAATTTGTCTTGAAGCAACTTCATCTGCAGTTCTTGAGCCTTGAGTGGCCCTGCAGTACGGCTGGCAACTTCCCGGCTGTCGGAGTTGTGGCTCTGCTGAGGCCATCGAAAGAAGGAAGGGGCAGCTGCAGGACTCCCCCACGATCGTGCCCATCTCGGGCTGTTCCAAACCTGTGTATGACCGGGAACGGAGGACTTGTACTGTAGTTGTAGAACGTTCGACCATATGTTCAAAAAGAGACCGGTGACGATGCTAGTGGTTGGTGGTGCTTTGACTAGGGGTGGTGGGTGCATGGTGGTGATGGTGGGTGAGCGGGCGAGCGGGTGGTGGTCGCTGTCGTAGCAGCAGCAGCAGCAGCAACAGCAGCCGCAGCTGTTGTGTAGTCGTAGTAGTAGCAGTAGTAGCAGTAGTAGCAGTAGTAGCAGTAGTGGTAGTAGTAGTAGTAGTAGTAGCAGCAGCAGGAGTAGTAGTAGTGGTGGTGGTAGTAGTAGCAGTAGTAGTAGTAGTAGTAGTAGTAGTAGTAGTAGAAGTAGCAGTAGCAGTAGCAGTAGCATCAGCCGCAGCAGCAGCAGTAGCAGTAGTGGTAGTCGTCGTCGCAGTAGTAGTAGTAGTAGTAGTAGTAGTAGTAGTAGTAGTAGTGGTAGTAGTAGTAGTAGTAGTAGTCGCAGTAGTAGTAGTAGTAGTAGTAGTAGTTGTTGTAGTTGTAGTAGTAGTAGTAGTAGTGGTAGTAGTAGTGGTAGTAGTAGTAGCATCAGCCGTAGCAGCAGCAGTAGCAGTAGCGGTAGTAGTAGTCGTCGTGGTAGTAGTCGCCGTCGTCGCAGTAGTAGTAGTAGTAGTAGTAGTAGTAGTAGTAGTAGTAGTAGTAGTCGTAGTAATAGTCGTAGTCGTAGTCGTAGTAGTAGTAGTAGTAGTGGTAGTAGTAGTAGTAGTAGTAGTAGCAGCAGTAGTAGTAGTAGTGGTAGTAGTAGTAGTAGTAGTAGTAGCAGCAGTAGTAGTAGTAGTAGTAATTGGAGAAGAAGCAGTAGTAGTAGTAGTAGTAGTACTAGTAGTACTAGTAGTACTAGTAGTACTAGTAGTACTAGTAGTACTAGTAGTACTAGTAGTAGTAGTACTAGTAGTAGTAGTAGTAGTAGTAGTAGTAGTAGTAGGAGAAGCAGCAGTAACAGGAGGAGGAGTAGTAGTAGTAGGAGACGTAGCAGTATTCTTCGGTTCGAATTACAGTAGCACTCGCCACAGCAGTTTCGCTGTACTCGTCGTAGTAGTTGCAGTTATCGTCGTCGTACTCGTGGTGGTAGTCGCAGCAGCAGCAGAGTAGAGGTAGGTGTAGCACTAGATGTAGTAGTAGTAGTAGTAGTAGTAGTAGTACCAGTGGTGGTGGTAGTGGTAGTGGTGGTGGTGGTGGTGGTGGTGGTGGTGGTGGTGGTGGTGGTAGTAGTGGTAGTGGTAGTGGTAGTGGTAGTGGTGGTGGTGGTGGTGGTGGTGGTGGTGGTGGTGGTAGTGGTCGTGGTAGTGGTCGTGGTAGTGGTAGTGGTAGTGGTAGTGGTAGTGGTAGTGGTAGTGGTAGTGGTAGTGGTAGTAGTGGTGGTAGTAGTAGTAGTAGTACGTAGTACATAGTGCGTAGTAGCAGTAGTAGCAGTAGTAGCAGCAGTAGTAGTAGTAGTAGTAGCAGTCTTGTTTTTTTCGTTAATGTTATCACAATAATACAGCCCTTGTACTTCTGTTTAATGTGATTAAGTATCATGAGTACTGTTCCTGTCATTAATATTGTAAGTTGTGTTATCTCTATTGTTAGTGTTGCTATGCTTATTACTGGTAGCAGTAGTAGGAGTAGTCGTAGTAGGAGTAGGAGCAGTCTTAGTAGGGAGCAGTAGCAGGAGCAGGAGCAGTGGTCGTGGCAGTATGGGCAGTAGGAGTAGTTGTAGTTGTAGTTGTAGTTGTAGTAGTAGTAGTAGTAATAATAGTAGTAGTGATAGTAGTAGTAGTAGCAGCAGCAGCAGGAAAGTGGTAGTAGTAGTAGTAGTAGTAGCAGTAGTAGCAGTAGTAGCAGTAGTAGCAGTAGTAGTAGTAGTAGTAGTAGTCGTGGTAGTAGCAGTCGTGGTGGTGGGTGGTGGTGGTGGTGGTGGTGGTGTAATGTGGTAGCAATAGTATAGAATAAGTAGTAGTAAGAATAATACATAGTCTCCTGGACACAAACCTGATGTCAGGAGCTGCAGCCGGAGTTTCAGGCGTTAGTCCAAGATGTCAAAGACCTGGACCGCAGGGGCATCCTGGGTTTCGTGGTGTATGCGAGTTCCCTGACCTTCCATGTGATGTTGTGGCAGCAGCTTCGGCTGCGTCAGGTCGCGACTAGCGAGGTCTGCAGTTGCTGGTTAGCAGCAAGCAGGGCAGAGGGTATCTGTGATCCAGGCTTGACCTGCCAGCTGGTGAGCCCTCGGTTTCGGATCTTAAAACAGTAGCTTGCCATTCTGTCGAAGCCTCGCCAACTAGCTCTGGAAGCACATCCCTGAACCCTAACCCTAAATGCTGACCCCAAACGCTAAAGTCTAATCCCTCTGAGCCTAAACACCGCAGAACTTGAACGTGAAGCTGCGGCTGCAGAGCCTCGAGCTTGAGGAGGCATCAGTCTCCTGAGTGGGTCGGGGTGCTCTCAGTGTTCTGAAAGAGAATCCTTTGACGGTTCGGTGGGGCTAAGGCTACTGTAAGCTCCTTTAAGGGCTCGAGACGGCATCCTTCCAGGGGGCTACTTTATGGGTTCCTTTGTGGGTTTTGTGTAATGGATCCAACTAGGGCTGCTACCGGGCTACTATAAGTTGTAGCATAAGCGAAGTCAATACAGTGCTCGGAATGGAATGATCCTGAAAACCTCTAATCAAAAAAATAGTTGTGCGAGAAAATCCAAACCCCAATAGAAACCTTGTTGCCTCTATATTTAGTAGACCACAGGAGCAGGCCAATGTCCCCACGTTTGGGGTTCTGATGAGAGCGGGCAGCACACAGCGAACGAGGTCTCCAGGAACAAAAGCAGCACCAACGGCATGTCATGTACTTTGTTCGGTGCATCCGGCATCCATGCTAATTCCGATCGAGCATTCCGCCAGTGTCATGGTATGAGGCGAGAGATCTCGTCGACCAGATGAAGAGAAGCTCATCTGAAGTGTATTTTGAGGAGATATCGGGATGCAGACGCCGTTGAGAGTCGACGCTAGACGCTCCCGATCGGGCGTCAAAAGGAATGCTTGTAGTATCCATATGTGCTTGCGACACTGCCGTCTCAAGCCCACTAGTAGGGCTGGAAAATGTTGCATCAAGATGTCATTCGTATCGGATCTTTGCATCTCGTTGGCCCAGCCCTGAACATTATCGTGCATGGTGTTGACACTGGCGCTTCTTGAGGGTGTTCTGCTGCCAAAACCACGAGAGACAAATTGGAGACTCCTGATTACTCACCCTGTGCCCACATCACAAAACTGGGCGAGTAGGATAACATGAGACTCGGTGAAGTAAGAATCAGGTTCACCGGAAAGGAAGCTTCGCAACTCAGTAATTACTATTAGCGCTGCTGGTCGTTTGTATAAGGTTTCGATCTTCCCAACTCAGCCGTTGCTGAGCCATGTATCCATGATTCAGACATTGAGGAAATCGCGTTCCCATCAAGAATCCAAGTGCTTGGCTCGGGAACGCCCGAGCCTCAGCCGATGCCCTTATCTTCAACAGATTCTATTCTACCATAACAGAACGTATAACTCGAACATACATCATTTACATGTGGGAGTTTCCGAAAATTAGGGGTACCTTATTTTGGGGTCCTTATAATAAATATCCGACTATTCAGGTTTTTTTCCTAGGTCCCCTATTCTCGGAAACTCCCACATATGAAGATGCGTACAGTGTGTGCCTGTGTAACCCAGGGCTGAGAAACACCCCTCCCTCAACACACTCATGGTTCCTCACATTCCCAGCGCGCCTCGAGCTTTCGGTGTTGTGGGTCTGAACGGTTCCTGCACGTCCGTCCGTGGCTTTGTGTGATACGGTCATCTTTCCAGATCAAACCGTGCTGATTTGGTATTGCAAGAGTTTCGATGTAAGGACGATCTGGTCGATGTTGCTTTGGACAGCTATGAATCCAACGTCTGTTTTTCTGCCTAAGGCCATTGACAAGAAGATCCGCCGGCTCCAGGTGCCGCTTGGGTTCTCGGAGGTTCATTTCGGCGGGTTAAAGAGGTGCATAAGGTACGCAGGGATTCGACACAGCATCGTCATGCATCAAGTGTACTGGTGGCAGTTCTTGTATTTGTTCAATTCTTGGGCCATCTACTTGTGCAGTCAGTCCAACTATTGCGGCTGCGAGGCATGAAAGCCGCCGATGTCTTCCGTTTGAACATCTTTAGCAGCAGGCTGCAGTGAAAAGACCTGGCCGGAAGCTACAATCCCTAATCAATGCCGAGAAAGCATTGCTTGAATGGTAGCTGCTAGCTCCATCGACCTCTTGTAAGACTGACCTCGTGCGCTGAGGCAAGCCCTGAAAGGCTCAGGAAAGGTCAAGGCAAGTGTCCAATGCCATTCCAGAGCACGAAACCCTAAACCCGCAACCCAGACCAAAAATTGGTCTCCCTGCAAGGCCCCAAGAGGCCCTTATAAAAAGGCTAAGCAGTGAGGGAGGGCAGCAGGAAATTGTCGAGCAGGGCAGCACTGCCCTGCAAGAGTACTTGTTTCTTAATGGGGACCCCTACCTTATAATGGGGCTATACAATGGGTATATAATAGCTATATTAAGGGTAGATACCTAGGGGTCCTTATTTAGGGTTTAGGCGGTGTTCCACTCTTTGTTCCACGGCTTAGATCTGAAGCCACGCCTAAGCCTCTAAGCAGCCTCCATGGTATGGACAGGAGGCAGACAAGCCCAGAGCGGCAACGGCCAAACCAAAGGCCAAGCCTAAGGCGATTCGAGCACATACCTGTCCAACTTTGTTGGAATGTTCGGGCTGTTCAAGATGAGTTCTGTTACATGCACTTCTGCAATAGAGCAGGGGTGGTTTCGGTTGTTTCGTGCGACTGGAAGATTGTGCAGACAACCCTACGCGATCATGGGTTCCGCAAGGCGACGAAGCAGAAGCAGCCCGCAAAGGCTGGGACGTACCTCTTTGCTGATCTTTGGCCGTTTGGAAGTTGCATTTGAGGTGTTCCTTCCGCTCGGTGCTTTCAAGCAGAGCGGAACATGTTTGGCTTCAGGATTCTTCGTTGAATTTTTCATTACAGCGATAGACACGCAGACAAACTTGAGCCCGACAAAAGTGAGTAGTCCTGGAACTCGGGGTATCAATGAGGCATGCGTAGCGCGGAGTTAAGTGATTCCGGGGCGCAAACCTGTCTCGGAACTCATTACTACGAGTCTTAAGCTGAACTGCAGTTCTTGTTGCTGGCAGTGCTGCCTAACAACCAGCCGCAAGGATAAGGCATCCAATGGCATCCCGAACAGGAAGCGGAGCTCCTGGCATCCCAACCCGAAACACTGCAAAAGGCCTGAAAGCTGTAGCTGCAAGTAGTCCTTGCCAGACGAGCGAAGAAGAAGCAATGGAGATCCCTACTCCGCCACTTCCGCCGCTCCCACCATCAAAGGACCTCTGTCAGGGCATAGAGCATACGTATTGTGGCGGCGAGGCATGAAAGCCGCCGGCGTCTTCCAGTTGAACATGTGTAGCGGCAAGCTGCACTGAAAAGACTTGGCCACAAACTGCAATCCCCAACCAATGCCGAGCCTTGCCTGCCGTGTGCGAGAGCGAGAGACGAACTAATGCCGAGATAGCATGCCTTCGATGTTAGCTCAATCGAGCTTTTTCTAAGACAGGCCTTGACAGTCGCAAGCCCTGGAAAGACTCGGGGGAGGTCCAGGTAGTTTCTAGGTCCAGGCAAAGTCTTCAACGAATTTCTTAGAGTTACGACACCCCAAACCTCAAACAGCGAGCTACAAGTACAAGTTCAGAGCGGAAGGGGCAGCAGCAAAATGTCGAGCAGCGGACTGCAATAAGAATGGTTCATTGAGTAGACATCCTGCGTATGGGCAGGAGGCAGAGAAGCCGGCAAAGGTCAAACCCAAGGCCATTGCCAAGGCGCAAACATTGATCGGGCTAACTTTGTTGGAATGTTCGAGCTGGTCGAAATGATTCAAGATGTGTGTTTGTGCACGCGGCAGGTGCGAGGACATTCATTGGTTCAGGCTCTGATTAGGCCCTACGCGGTCATGGCCTCTGTAAAGGCGAAGAAGCAGAAGCAGCCCGCAAAGGCTGGAACGAACCTCTTTGCGGATCTTCGGCCGTTTGGAAGTTGCTTATGAGGTGTTCGTTCCGCACGGTGCTTTCAAATTTCAAGTAGAGCGGAACATGTTTGGCTTCAGGGTTCTTCGTGGAATTTGTCATTACAGCGATGAACACGCAGACAAACTTTGAGCCCGACTGCTTTTGTTCCGTTCTTCAACCTGAAGGTGCCCATGGCCCCTGCTTTAATCTCCTCTCATGAATGGCTGTCACGTAACATTCAGATGGTATGCAATCGCTACATTGTCGTTTCTGCCGAATACTTGGCGGCCGGTCCGGTGCTAGTACAAGTCAGTTGTCCTGGAACTCGGGGTATCAATGAGGCATGCGTAGCGCGGGGTTAAGTGATTCCGGGGCGCAAACCTGTCTCGGAACTCATTACTACGAGTCTTAAGCTGAACTGCAGTTGTTGTTGCTGGCAGTGCTGCCTAGCAACATCTAGCAACCAGAGGCAAGGATTAGGCATCCAATGGCATCCCAGACAGGAAGCGGAATTCCTAGCATCCCGACCCAAAACACGACAAAAGGTTTGAAAACTGTAGCCGCAAATAGACCTTGCCAGACGAGCGAAGAAGAAGCATCGGAGATCCTTACTCCGCCGCCACTTCCGCCGCTCCCGCAACTTGAGCCAAAGGACCGCCGTCAGGGCATAGAGCATACGTATTGTGGCGGCGAGGCATGAAAGCCGCCGGCGTCTTCCAGTTGAACATGTGTAGAGACTTGGCCACAAACTGCAATCCCCAACCAATGCCGAGCCTTGCCTGCCGTGTGCGAGAGCGAGACGAACCAATGCCGAGATAGCATGTCTTCGATGTCAGCTCAACCGAGCTTTTTCTAAGACAGGCCTTGACAGTCGCAAGCCCTGAAAGACTCGGGGGAGGTCCAGGCAGTTTCTAGGTCCGGCAAAGTGTTCAATGAATTTCTGAGAGTTACGACACCCCAAACCTCAAACAGCGAGCTACAAGTTCAGAGCGGAAGGGGCAGCAGCAAAATGTTGAGAAGCGCACGATAGTTATCTTTCGTACGGACAGGAGGCAGAGAAGCCGGCAAAGGTCAAACCCAAGACCAGTGCCAAGGCGCAGACATTCATCGGGTTAGCTTTGTTTGAATGTTCGAGCTGTCCGAAATGATTCAAGATGTATGTTTGTGTTCGCGGCAGGTGCGAGGACATTCATTGGTTCAGGCTATAATTGAGGGTAGTTTTGCGCGACTCGCACAGACGACCCTACACGGTCATGGCTTCTGTAAAGGCGAAGAAGCAGAAGCAGCCCGCAAAGGCTGGGACGAACCTCTTTGCGGATCTTCGGCCGTTTGGAAGTTGCTTATGAGGTGTTCGTTCCGCACGGTGCTTTCAAATTTCAAGTAGAGCGGAACATGTTTGGCTTCAGGGTTCTTCGTGGAATTTGTCATTACAGCGATGAACACGCAGACAAACTTTGAGCCCGACTGCTTTTGTTCCGTTCTTCAACCTGGAGGTGTCCATGGCCCCTGCTTTAATTTCCTCTCATGAAGGAGTGTCACGTATCATTCAGATGGTATCCAATCGCTACATTGTCGTTTCTGCCGAATACTTGGCGGCCGGTGCTAGTACAAGTTAGTAGTCCTGGAACTCGGGGTATCAATGAGGCATGCGTAGCGCGGAGTTAAGTGATTCCGGGGCGCAAACCTGTCTCGGAGCTCAGCTGCTACGAGTCTTAAGCTGAACTGCAGTTCTTGTTGCTGGCAGTGCTGCCTAGCAACATCTAGCAACCAGAGGAAAGGATTAGGCATCCAATGGCATCCCAGACAGGAAGCGGAATTCCTAGCATCCCGACCCAAAACACGACAAAAGGTTTGAAAACTGTAGCCGCAAATAGACCTTGCCAGACGAGCGAAGAAGAAGCATCGGAGATCCTTACTCCGCCGCCACTTCCGCCGCTCCCGCAACTTGAGCCAAAGGACCGCTGTCAGGGCATAGAGCATACGTATTGTGGCGGCGAGGCATGAAAGCCCCCGGCGTCTTCCAGTTGAACATGTGTAGAGACTTGGCCACAAACTGCAATCCCCAACCAATGCCGAGCCTTGCCTGCCGTGTGCGAGAGCGAGACGAACCAATGCCGAGATAGCATGTCTTGCAGGAGGCAAAAATAGCATGTCTTCGATGTTAGCTCAACCGAGCTTTTTCAAAGACAGGCCTTGACAGTCGCAAGCCCTGAAAGACTCGGGGGAGGTCCAGGCAGTTCCTAGGTCCGGCAAAGTGTTCAATGAATTTCTGAGAGTTACGACACCCCAAACCTCAAACAGCGAGCTACAAGTTCAGAGCGGAAGGGGCAGCAGCAAAATGTTGAGAAGCGCATGATTAGTTATCTTTCGTACGGACAGGAGGCAGAGAAGCCGGCAAAGGTCAAACCCAAGACCATTGCCAAGGCGCAGAGATTGATCGGCCTAACTTTGCTGGAATGTTCGAGCTGTCCGAAGTAATTCAAGATGTATGTTTGTGTTCGCGGCAGCTGCGAGGACATTCATTGGTTCAGGCTATAATTGAGGGTAGTTTTTGCGCGACTCGCCCGTTGTGCAGACGACCCTACACGGTCATGGCTTCTATAAAGGCGAAGAAGCAGAAGCAGCCCGCAAAGGCTGGGACGAACCTCTTTGCGGATCTTTGGCCGTTTGGAAGTTGCTTATGAGATGTTCGTTCCGCACGGTGCTGTCAAGTCGAGCGGAACATGTTTGGCTTCAGGATTCTTCGTGGAATTTGTCATTACAGCGATGAACACGCAGACAAACTTTGAGCCCGACTGCTTTTGTTCCGTTCTTCAACCTGGAGGTGTCCATGGCCCCTTTAATCTCCTCCCATTGAGCACTTTCGTGTGACAGTCAGATGTTGTCCAATCGCATCGCTACATTGTCGTTTCTGCCGAATCCTGGGCGGCTGGTGCTAGTACAAGTTAATAGTCCTGGAACTCGGGGTATCAATGAGGCATGCCTAGTGCGGAGTTAAGTGATTCCGGGGGCGCAAACCTGTCTTACTAACCTGTCTTCGGAGCTCAGCGTCTTAAGCTGAACTGCAGTTCTGGCAGTGCTGCCTAGCAACCAGAGGCAAGGATTAGGCATCCAATGGCATCCCAGACAGGAAGCGGAATTCCTACTGGTAGCATCCCAACCCAGAACACTACAAAAGGTTTGAAAACTGTAGCCGCAAATAGACCTTGCCAGACGAGCGAAGAAGAAGCGTCGGAGATCCTTACTCCGCCGCCACTTCCGCCGCTCCCGCAACTTGAGCCAAAGGACCGCTGTCAGGGCATAGAGCATACGTATTGTGGCGGCGATGCATGAGAGCCGCCGGCGTCTTCCAGTTGAACATGTGTAGCGGCAAGCTGCACTGAAAAGACTTGGCCATAAACTGCAATCCCCAACCAATGCCGAGCCTTGCCTGCCGTGTGCGAGAGCGAGAGACGAACTAATGCCGAGATAGCATGCCTTCGATGTTAGCTCAATCGAGCTTTTTCTAAGACAGGCCTTGACAGTCGCAAGCCCTGAAAGACTCGGGGGAGGTCCAGGCAGTTCCTATTTCCAGGCAAAGTGTTCAACGACACCCCAAACCTCAAACAGCGAGCTACAAGTTCAGAGCGGAAGGGGCAGCAGCAAAATGTCGAGCAGCGCACTGCAAGAATGCTTCATTGATTAGTCATCTTTCGTATCGGCAGGAGGCAGAGAAGCCGGCAAAGGTCAAACCCAAGGCCATTGCCAAGGCGCAGACATTCATCGGGTTAGCTTTGTTTGAATGTTCGAGCTGTCCGAAATGATTCAAGATGTATGTTTGTGTTCGCGGCAGCTGCGAGGACATTCATTGGTTCAGGCTATAATTGAGGGTAGTTTTGCGCGACTCGCACGTTGTGCAGACGACCCTACACGGTCATGGCTTCTGTAAAGGCGAAGAAGCAGAAGCAGCCCGCAAAGGCTGGGACGAACCTCTTTGCGGATCTTTGGCCGTTTGGAAGTTGCATATAAGGTGTTCCTTCTGCTCGGTACTGTCAAGTCGAGCGGAACATGTTTGGCTTCAGGATTCTTCGTGGAATTTGTCATTACAGCGATGAACACACAGACAAACTTTGAGCCCGACTGCTTTTGTTCCGTTCTTCAACCTGGAGGTGTCCATGGCCCCTGCTTTAATCTCCTCCCATTGAGCACTGTCGCATGACATGCAGATGGTATCCAATCGCTACCTTGTCGCTTCTGCCGAATACTGGGTGGCCGGTGGCAGTACAAGTCAGTAGTCCTGGAACTCGGGGTATCAATGAGGCATGCGTAGTGCCGAGTTAAGTGATTAAGTGATTCCGGGGCACAAACCTGTCTCGGAACTCATTACTACGAGTCTTAAGCTGAACTGCAGTTCTTGTTGTGGGCAGTGCTGCCTAACAACCAGAGGCAAGGATTAGGCATCCAATGGCATCCCAGACAGGAAGCGTACTTCCTAGCATCCCAACCCAAAACACTACAAAGGGTCTGAAAACTGTAGCTGTAGCTGCAAATAGACCTTGCCAGACGAGCGAAGAAGAAGCATCGGAGATCCTTACTCCGCCGCCACTTCCGCCGCTCCCGCAATTGGAACCAAAGGACCGCTGTCAGGGCATAGAGCATACGTATTGTGGCGGCGATGCATGAGAGCCGCCGGCGTCTGCCATTTGAACATGTGTAGAGACTTGGCAACAAACTGCAATCCACAACCAATGCCGAGCCTTGCCTGCCGTGTGCGAGAGCGAGAGACGAAACAATGCCGAGATAGCATGTCTTCGATATTTGCTCAACCGAGCTTTTTCTAAGACAGGCCTTGACAGTCGCAAGCCCTGAAAGACTCGGGGGAGGTCCAGGCAGTTCCTATGTCCAGGCAAAGTGTTCAAGCAGTTTCGTAGAGTTACGACACCCGAACCGTCAAACAGCGAGCTACAAGTTCAGAGCGGAAGGGGTAGCAGCAAAATGTCGAGCAGCGCACTACAAGAATGCTTCATTGATTAGTCATCTTTCGTATGGGCGGGAGGCAGAGAAGCCGGCAAAGGTCAAACCCAAGGCCATTGCCAAGGCACAGAGATTGATCGGCCTAACTTTGTGAGAATGTTCGAGCTGTCTGAAATGATTCAAGATGTACGTTTGTGTTCTCGGCGGGTGCAAGGACATTCATTGGTTCATGCTATAATTAGGCCGAGGGTAGTTTTGCGCGACTCGCACGTTGTGCAGACGACCCTGCACGGTCATGGCCTCTGTAAAGGCGAAGAAGCAGAAGCAGCCCGAAAAGGCTGGAACGAACCTCTTTGCGGATCTTCGGCCGTTTGGAGTTTCGATACATGGGCTAAATCGAAGCCGAATACCTGGTACATAGAGCCTGAAGGTGCACCTGGCCGTGTTTTGGATAGTGTTCTTATATGTGTTTGTTTTATATGTGGTTGTCTCCGGGTGTGTTTAACAAAAGTGAAGGGATTGCCTGATTCGGTCAAGAAACATCTGCCATCGTCGGCTCCCTCACCCCACCTGCTCCAAACCCCCCTCCCCACCCCACAAACTTCGTTGAGAAATATCAGTCATTCCCTCCAAGACATACAGCATGCAATGGATCCAGCATCCAAGCAGCCTTCGCTTCCTTCGACTTGAGACGTGATTTCTGAGATCTGAAGCCACGCGAAGACCGTCCATGGCATGGCCAGGAGGAAGAGAAGCCCACGGCGGCTGCCAAGCCCAAGGCGAAGAGAGCGCGGCATGCGGTGACATCGCAGCCTTGTGCTGGGCTGTTGTGTGGCCGTAACAGACTGTTTGCAAAGGTTCGCATCAAAACAAGCAATGCTATGTGGCAGCCACAGCTTATTGAAAAGCATCGAAGACCGCTAGCAACCCTCAGTGCTGCAAGAAAAAAACATATTGCCGCCATGCCAGCCTAGATTGCTCCTTGTCTCGTCGAAGGCGAACGAGAAGAAATCAGCAAACAAGGCTGGAGCCTCATTGGATATGCTGATGTGCTTGGCCCTTGGTGCAGGCTGCAGCTGCAGATTTTTGTTGATGCACCCTTCGCCAGTCTCAACACTTCTTCTGATGTCGATGCGAAAGTCATGCTCCGTGTTGCTTGGGTAATTATTGCTACCGTAGCATCTACCAAGTCGAACAAGCATGGTTCTCTCGGTTGCTGTTAGTGGTGGTCGCGGTGGTAGCAGCTGAAGCGGCAGCAGTAAGTAGCAGTTGTCGGCTACTCGTCAGGAGAAGCAGTTCGTGTCGAAGCTGAAGCAGGCAGTGCTTCGTGCAAAGCTTGATCCAAAGGTAGACGCTTGAGAGTTGAGCGTTTCCGGCTCATGAGAGAGCTGGTGTAGCATAGAATGTTAGTTGGAGGCTCACGAGTCACGGGCTGGAGCTTCAATATCCCAGCTATGCCCTTTTCCCAAACGGTGCCTCACGCACCCCAACCTGCCCAACTGAAGGCTGTGGGGGCTTGTGGCCAGACATGGGATTGCAGCGAACACGCACTTTGTGTGCTAAGAGCAACCTGGGAGAAGTGTTTCAGAGCTTCCGGCGAGCTTTCTGAAAGCTTGTTCTTTCGGAAGTCTTGTGACGAAGTTAGAAGGCACATGGGTGCTAGTGCAAGAGTGATGGCTGGTAAATGTCGCACCATGAGCGTGCGGATTTGTCAACATGTTTTTTTGCCGGGTTGATGTTGGATAAATGCCTGCAGGCATTGCAGGATTCTAGCCGGTGTAGATTCTCGGCGGCAAGGCCGACCGCGACGAGCAGATCCTTGCTGCTGTGCTAGAGGCCCTCACTTCTTCGATTCGATGCGTTGCTCTTGGTGGCAGATTTGCAAGTCGGCGTCTGTAGTAAATAAATAAATATATATATATATATATATATATATAGAATATCTGAGTTTAGGAATTATTTGGGGTTGAGGTTTAACGGATTAGGTCCAGCAGAGTAGGTTGTGGGTATACAAGCATATCTACGAGGTTGAAATGTTTGAGTTATGGTACTCGGCCTTTAGGGAAAGTAATTTTACCTCTCCACAGACGTGCTAAAACCCCCAGAGCCCAACCCTGCACCCAAACGTCACCTGTCAGGTTGCCGGTGGTACACTTGACCCGAAGACCTCTTTGAATTTGGTGATGCAGAGGCATGGGCTGCAACATGGCACGGCAATCTTGCGAAGTGCTTTCAGGAGTGTGCACAGCTGCATGTGCTTGTGGTTGGTTACCTTGGTTTACGCCTTTGTTACGTTGTGTGCATTGGCCAACTCTTTCGACCTGCGCACATGCACAGACAGAGACTCTCAGTGTTGAGATCTCCTTGCTTGAGGTTGCTTGGCAACAACGATGCAACTGTGTACACGTGAGGAGCTCGGTGGCTGAAACTTTAGCTCGTGAGGCGAGCTTGAGCTAGGGGAATGTCTGGTGTTGGTTTGGGTTGCAAGTTGCTTCAAGCCAGCTTGGCATGTCCATGCGTACGTGTCCATCGGTGGGAGTCAGCTCGACTTGGAGGCTCATGGGACTTAGTAACTTAGTTATAAGTCCCTTAATTGGGGTTATAAGTAATTATAAGTACAGTTACCCCAATAATAACCCTAGTTCCTAAGTCACATGATCCTTTAAGTGCAGGGCAAATGGCTGAATGACTCTAGGATGGCCAAGTGTTGTCATCATCAGTTCGAAGATCTCATACCAAAGCCAACCGGCCTCATTAAGCTGCATACGGTCAGGGTTTTTTGGCTTTCGAATTTAAGGTTTAGGGCCCGACACTCCGAAACTCTCCATCCACACTCACACTGTTACCATCCTAAGAGCTCGCGTCAGTTGACAGTCCTCCAGTTCTACCAGCCAGGGGTTCCGAAATGAAGTCTTGGTGACTCTCTTGAACTATTCGCACGTACACGCACACACATGTACGTCTTCATTCTCTCTCTCTCTCTCTCTCTCTCTCTCTCTCTCTCTCTCCATCCATGTATCCACATATGTATATGTTTGTATATGTAACTAAGATGTGTGTCCGTACAAGTATGTAGGTCTTCAACGGGAGCGGGAGCCCGAAACCAATGCCGCCCGGAAAAAGAGCTTCAGGTGCAAGAAAAGCGAGGAATCCTTCGAAGGGAAGGCGGCTTTCTTTGGGGTTTACGATGGTCCTTCTTGGTTGACGCTGTCTGCTGGTGTAAGTAGTACTAAGCAGTGCCAGGCCTTCTGGCTGAAGTCCGGGGGGCTCTTCATTCAGCAGATTTCGGTGGAATTCGCTTCTCAACATCGCAAGTTGTTAGTTGAAGCCCGGCTCTGCCGGATGAAGTCGGGTGCAGTACAAACGAGACGTCTCGCACCACCAGATGAAGACGAACGCAGAAAGAGAAACATCGGCTCGCTGAAGATTGTAAAATGCAATCGAGCTTATAGAGTTTACAGGGCAATAGAGGAGGCTTCTCAAGTTTAATGGGACCCTAAACCCTAAACCGGCCGCTGTGGGAATAGCACTGGTGTGTTTATAAAGGCCGTGCACATCAACAATAATCGGATTGCCGCTCAAAGGTTGGAATTTGGGAGTTTCCGAAAATTCGGGGTACCCTATTTTGGGGTCCTTAGATTAAGGGTCCTACTATTTAGAGTACTACATTAGGGTCCCCTATTTTCGGAAGCCCCCGTATATGCAGCAAGAGGCATCCGTCATAGTGCGACATGATATTCCGGGCTCCTCGAAAGCAGCCGAAATCTATCCGACGTGATGGGAGTAATTAAGATTGCAACAACCTAGAACGGAAGGATAGAACAACGGAGCCCCTCTCGCATCACTCAGCACCATGTCCCAGCACAATCTCAGTTCATCCGTTCAGTCTACAGGCTCCAGCCGGATCCTATCCCACAGAAACGGGAGTCCTGTTTGTGTAAGTGTAGCTATCGCATCTGAGTCGGTGCAGTACATTGCTCTTTCATGTAAGGGGTTCTTTGAACTCGTGTCTCCTTGCAGACAAAATTTTCCATCATACCACTGGGGCCAGCTGAAGCAGCTGAAGCTCAACCCCTTTGTTGTTGCTCCGGGCCTCGAAGCAGCACCGCTCGTGGCCTCGAAGCAGGTCTCTTTGAAGGGCGAGGGAGGACAGCCGAGATCCGTGAGTCCGAGACATGTTGCAAGGGCTTCCACCGGTTCCAGCCCAGACATCCCTGTGCCCGGCGGTGCTTTAAATGCTCCAAGAGCCAGTAGAAGCGTGAGGCGCATACTTCACCACCCGGAGCACTTCTGTTCATCGCCAGGTAGTTCAGTCTGTGAAGCGGAGCTTGATAAATAGTTTGAGTTTGAGCTCGGCTTCCAGAACGCAGTGCAGTGCGAGGAACCGTCGAATTTGTGGCCAAAGGTGTCGCTGCCTTACAACTTAGCGACTTAGCAAGTCAAGCCGTCACCAGACACCGGGTTGGCAGCATGTGGTTCAGTCTTCCTCCGAAGTTGCACTCCGAAGTGCCACGCGGAACGAGGTGATCAGAGCAAAGTGAGACCAGTCCGGATTCTGAGGCCACAAAGAAGCAGGCTCAAGTCAATGCAGCGCGCATTGGCCCCGGAACTGTGTCTCAGTCTTCGGCAACCTGGGGATGTGGCGATGAGCCTGGAGGGTTTAGGGTTTCTGGATTGTTGGTTTGGGGCTTGTTGGATCGGCGCATCTGGCGGTGTTGGAGGCAGGCTGCAAATCTCATAACGAAGACACCCGCAGGCTGCAGAGGACATGGCCCCACTGTCACACGAACAAACACGATCTCTAGAACCTGTGCTTGTTAACTGCTGCTAGTCGTTATTGCCCTAATTGTGGAAACCCGATAGCCTAAGCCCAAACCAAGTTTAGCTTTTCTGTCCAAACCGGAAACCCCAAACCGTGCGCCGAAATCGTGGAAAAACTCGGGGAACCCTACACCTGGCAAGCCTGGAAACCCTGAACCCCGCACGCCGCCTTAAACCCGAATCTGGGAAACCATATGGCCCTAATTAGGCCCTAAACCCAGTGGTGAGATGAACATCGTCTTGCCGAGTAACTTGCCATTCCGCCCCTTCCGCAGTCTCGCCAGGCTTGTCCCAGTTGTGAGTGCTGAACCCCCCCCCTTAACTCTACCCTAAACCCTAAATACACCCCAAACCCCAGGACCCTTTGAGTACTTTGCACGAGTCCCGACTTGTATACTGTGTTGTTGTATGTTTGAAAGTGCACGAACAGCATGCTCCAAATCTCCATACTGTTTCACCAGAAGGCAGCCCCATGTAGTCTGTAGTTTCATAAAATTTGTGAAAGTATAGTAGTCACACTCGAATACACAGCCGTTGGTAACATGGTGACGAAGTTGAGTCATTGTAATAATGACCCATGCAGATGACAGCCAAACCCTGAGCTCTCCCAGCTCCTTGAATCCACTTCGTCGTTTCACTTTGTCAGACTCTGAACCATATGCCTCGCCTGGATTCTCCGAGTGCGAGCGCCGAAACCCTAAAACCCTAAACTTCAGTTCCCCATGGTACCCGACAAGTACGATACACACCCAAACCCTAGGACCCCAAGACCGGTCCGAGGCGCGGCTCTGCAAGGCTTCGAGCAGGTTCTCGAGAGATGTCGGCCGAAGGCGGGCGCAGAGAAGGGGTCCCTAGGTGAGAATGGTGGGCTACAGTTCTTTTGGGGGGGGGGGGGGGGGTTGAAAGGGTTTTGGGTTTCATGTTTGGGGGTTTAAAAGGGTTTGGGTTTAGTTTAGGGTTTTGGGGGTTTTGGGTGCTTTTTCTTGGGTTTTGGGGCTGGGGGTTTTGGGCTGTTTCAGGTGCTTGCGGAGGCGCAGCGGCTCTTATAGGATTCTAGGGCCTAAGGGCAGAGATTCTGGACTGAAGGCTTAAAGAATTGCTGTTCCGATGTGAGGTGCATGGGAATGGCTAGTCACTTGGGCAGTCAGGTTTCGAAGTCACCTGTTTGAGAGACATACAGCTTGAGAATTGACTGAGCCGGGAGTATTAGCAGGCCTAATGCGCACAAGCACTGACGACGAGATTCGACAATCATTCCTCCGAAGCTGCGTGCATGCTCTTGTCATTTCCAACTCTTGACATTTGCGAGTCCTCCTAGCTAAACCGTCGAATCAGTCTCGGCAGATAAGAAAGCTGACCTTACCCTTTGCCGTCGTTATCAACCACAACCAGCGAATATGAAACATTCGCATCAGGTGGACGCTGTGGCGAGTTGAGCCGCAGCACCGAACCTGGCAAGTCCCGAGTCCCACAGGGGAAGAGGTCGGACACGCAGCCCAAACACCTAAAGGGAACTCCAGAAAGTTGGAATAATATGGTTTCATGGTAGGATACCCTATAATTTACCATAGAAGGGTTTAGGATAATCATATTCCAACTTTCTGGCTTTTACCTTAAACTCAGCAGCAAGAGGTATCTCGGTTTAGCGAACCTCCGACCTCATGGTTCCTGCACCTGTTAGTCGCTGAGAGTGACTTTCCGGAGTTGCTGCTGCCGGGTGGTTGCCGGAATTCCGAGCTGGGTATAGGTGGGTGGTATATTTTAGTAGTTTAGGCCAAGGGGACTCGGTTTGCAAAAGCCTAGCTTCCGGGAGTTTGTTGCTGCAGTGTAGGGTTTCCCTGGACCAGGCATTTTCGCCTCGCCCGGGAGACGCTGTTGCTAACAAACAGGTTTCGTCGAAAAAGTCCGGTTCGGTCGCCTCAGCACCTAAACGAAGCCTCTCAGTGATGCAAACCCGCATCCGCCCTGCGATGAAGCATTTGTCGCATGTGCCCTATGTGGTCTATGTCGAGGGGGAGAACACATCACGTAGACTATATAGATAATATGTGCAGTATAACTATTATAGAGAAAGATAGATATACTCGTGTAGAGTGGTTGATGCGTAGCATGTACATCAGGCAGAATGTTTGGCAGCGATATAGAAGTTATAGGAACCGTCTCAGGACGTGCACCTCGGGCCGTCTTCTCGGAGCAACTTCCAGTCACTACCCTAAGGCCCCAAAGTAGTTCCTTTTTGGGGTTCATACATAGAATCCTATAAGGTAATCCCAAAAAGGAACTACTTTGGGGCCTATGGGTAAGCAGGCTCTCAACTTTTGGGGACTGCGACCAGTACACAGGCCGGACAATTTAAAACTTGTCCCCTCGCAGCAGCGATGATGGGCCCCCAAACCCTGCTCTATTAAGGCCGCCTACACTCTCCCAGGTGATGTCTTCCAAGTCTTGCCTTTGGTTGCCCAAGATTGTTACACACCGAGTTGTTCTGACATCTCCCCGTGTATATTAGGACACGAGCAGCATCAAAGGAGGAGCATCTCATAATATCTCATGGGCAAGGAGCCAGGACTATCAACGCATAACGTTTCACCTCCTTCGCTAAACCCCGAACCCACATAATCAAGTTCCCTCAAGCGCACCGTATAAAGCTGTTTCGGCTCTTGCAGCGGCAGCAGACGAGGCGCGTACAGGCACATGCCCTCCTTGCGCCGCACCCTGGCCTCGGTAGTTGCGGCGTGCGCTACGGACGCGGCATCCGCTCCTTGTTTCAAAGAGCAGACATGCCCATATCGCCAGCAGGCCGCTGTTTCTTCGATAGGGCTGAAGTCCGAGGCGCGCTTCATTCAGCCGCGGGTGTGGTCGCTTCGGGGAGTTCGCCTTTCAACTTCGTAAGTTGTTAGTTGATTGTTAGTCGAAGCCCGACTCTACTGGATGAAGACGTACGCAGTACGAACGAGACGTCTCGAGCCGCCACCAGATGAAGCCGAACGAAGAAGAGAAAGGCCAGTTCATTCAAGGGAGTCTAAAGTATAATCGAGTTTAGGGCAAGAGCGGGGGCTTCTCACGGTTTGGGGCCGCGGCATAGGACTAGCACCCGGGTGTTGCTTAAAGTTGAAAGCCGAACGTAGCAGCAACAACAACAACAATGCCAGGCATCTACACAGCTGAACCGAGGCGTCTTAACGCACGGTGTCAATGATTTGCACCTATGTAGCAAGAGACAAGTTTCAAAGTGCAAATGATATGTCAGGGTTATCGAAAGCAGCGGAGACCCTTCCAAATCACTAACCACCAGTATCTCAGTTCATCCCTTCAGCAGTTCTACAGTCTACAGGCCCCCATCGCCGCCTCTCCCACAGAAATCGGGGCCTGCATGCATAGGCATCAAATCTAAGTCGGTGCAGCACATTGCCTTTACTCATACTTCCTTGCAGACAGCACGATATCACAGGGCCAGTTGATTCTGAAACTCAACCCCTTAGTTGGTGCTCCGACCTCGCAGTAGAATCTACTTGCATGTGCTCGTTGACATGTGCAGGTCGCTTTGAAGGGCGCGGGTCTATTGCTGCTGCTGCTGCTACTCCTACTCCTACTCCTACTCCTACTCCTACTCCTACTCCTACTCCTACTCCTACTCCTACTCCTACTCCTGCTACTACTCCTGCTACTACAGGTGTCGTCCCCTCGCTCATAGCCGACTCATTGCCTGCAGTGCAGGGCCCGACGGACGCTGACAAGTGGGAGCCAAAACTACTACTACTACTACTACTACTACTACTACTACTACTACTACTACGACGACGACTACGACTACGACTACGACGACTACGACTACGACTATTACGACGACTACTACTACTACTACTACGACGACTACGACTACGACTACGACGACTACGACTACGACTACTACTACGACCGACTACTACGACCGACTATTACGACGACGACGACGACGACGACGACGACGACGACGACGACGACGACGACGACTACTACTACTACTACTACTACTACTACTCAGACGACCACGACTACACTAAGAAGAAGACTCGCCACTGCCAGTGCAATGCGATCTGCTCATTTTTGTTTGTCCTGCACGCTGAGGCGCAGACTGCCTTGGCAGCAGGCAGGTGGCCAGCGACAGCAGTGAATCCGTCATGTGGTCTTGGGACACGCTTCTAGGAGTCTCACTTGAGACGGGGTTCGGTCTACAGTTTCGAGCTGCTGTGGGCTTGGTACTTGTTATGGGTTGAAGCACACAGTTCTGAGAGGCTCAGGCTGCAGCCGGCTCGAGATGCTCATTAGTGATTTGCATCGTGGATTTGCAGGTCACACAATGGATCGTCGGATGGAGAGGCGCTTGCAGATGCTCCCGTAAGTGCTTTGATCGACTTTCTCATGCCTGCCCCAGCATAACCAGTCACCCAAGCAAAAGATAGCCCTGAATCTGAAGGCAAGAATTTCGAGCTGGTATCTGCATCCTTCACGCCCGTCGAGTAGCGCATGAAACGGACAGCCTTTGAACCCTACCTACATAGACTCCTACACCGGATTCGAATCCTCGGGCGATCGCGCCTCCACCGCCGTCTCCAATTCGACTGCACCATCCCTAGATTGTCATGCTTCGCAGCAGCATGCTGGTAAGCGGTGCCTTGTTGCCTATGTTCATCAGCAAGTGTTCAAGTTTAACCTCACCTTGTGCAAGAATCACCCGCCCAAAGCTGCAGGGCATGGGGAGAGGAGAAGACTTCTCACGCGTTCACCGCGCGGAGCACTGTCTCGCATGTTCGGTAGGCATACGGGGCCTGTTTTGTTGGTCATTTCAGCTTCCGGGACTACTGGGCTTGGGGCTTCGGAAGAGAGGATCAACACTTCCATCTCGGGAATGGTGTGAAGCACTCTCCTCCTCCTCCTCCTCCTCCTCCTCCTCCTCCTCCTCCTCCTCCTGACTAGGCTAGATTGGTATGGTTAGTCAGTGCAGCGCTACCACAGCACTAGCACATGGTCCAGTTTAGGCCGACGTGTTGATCATGTTTTGTTTGGCCCTCAATCCGTGTTGGGACCTCAGTTCTGAAACAGCAACAACAACAACGACAACAGCGACAACAACGACGACGACAGCGACAACGACAACAAAGAAGACGACATCATCATCATCATTATCATCATCACCATTGTCATCAGCAACAACAACAATCACAGACACAAACACAAGCACAAACAAAACCATGCGGACGACAGCGACGACAGCACCAACGACACTTTCAACAACAACCGCAAAGTTAACAGCAAGAGCACAAGAGCAAGAGCAAGAGCAACAACAGCATCGGTCATAACGTTGAGAAAACCTTAACAGTATCAACAGCAGCGGCAACAATAACAACAACAGCAATAACAACAATAGCAGCAACAACACTGACTACGACAAAGGACAACCACAACAACAACAACAACAAAATTGCCAACAGCAACAGCAACAACAACGACAACAGCATCAGCAGCAACAGCGTACACGACCACGGCCACAAACACAACCACGAGGACAACAACGACAACGACAGCCGCAAGAGCAATAACAGCAATAGCAGCAACAACATTGACAACAACATGAACAGTAATGTCTACAGCAAACAGCAACAGCAGCAACAACAACAACAGCAACCACAACCACGACAAAGACACAGACTTTGCTCCTTTGTGAACTCCGCTCCAGCATATCGATCTTCCGGTCAGTTGCTTGGACAGTTGCAGCGCGCAAGTAGTATGTTTGAGGTCGTCATTCGCACCGCTTCATTGATGGTTGTTCTTGAGTCTCCAAAGGTTTCCTGGTAGAGTTGCAGGCAAGGTCACCCCCTTCCTTTGAGTTTGCGACCGTGCCCGGGTACCCTTTGTGGTCCATGTGCCTTATGTTTTTCTTCCAGTCTCTTGACAAGCAGGTCCTTGATGGAGGGGTAGCTAGGTGGCTCGGTGCCTTTGCCCATAGGCTTTGCGTAGAAAAGCAAGTATGTAGCTTTAGGCAGCATTCAAGACAGAACCACTTTTAGGGTTCTCTGAAGTTGAAAACAGGAAAAGCTCCTCTCAGGATGTGTGCCGCCAGCAGATATCTGGAAAGCCAACGGCCTGATTCTTTGCCATCTGGGCGGCAGTTCGTTTTTTTGGTCGAAGCCCCCGAGAGTGCTTGGGCTTGAGGCCTGGGGGGCCAAATCTCGTGCAAGACTGGACCTAATGTGTACTGGAATGAAGACTTTGTGCAGCATCACTCAGATAGTAATGCTATTTCGATGCACAAGCTGACAGAGCAGATGCCCACATAATAGAGATTATACTTTACCTGGTGTACAATGTAGAGTATGTGACTGATATCCTGCATCATTTCCCCATGATCTTGTTTCTCGTTCGTTGCGCCCGTGCTTCTGCTTCTTGACCGCGGCCA